CTGGTTATATCTGAAGCCCTGGTTACAGGTAAGCATTTACAGTGTAGGGCCCAAACTAATGAATTTTAAATGAGAGCACTATTACTTCTAAATATGTCCTAACAGATTCCTACAGCACATACAACAGAGTCAAATCTATTGAAAATGAGGCAAAGAATTACCTTTTCCCTTTTTTTTTGGGGGGGGGGGCGGATCTAGGATGTTATGGTTAATTGACAAAATGCCCCAAATTCTTCCTTGTATGTACCCCCTTTTCAATATGACTATAACTTCTCTCATCGAGAGGTGGAGCCTGTTTTCCACACATGAATGTAGGTTGACTTTTCTATACATTTGGCCAAAAGAATGCTGTAGAATTAATAGCGTGCAATTCTAAGCCTAGAACTCAAGAGGTCTTTCATGCTTCAACTCTCCCTCCTGGAACACTCATTGCCATGGGAATAGGCCAGGCTAGCTTGCTAGAGGTACAAAGGCCATCATCTCAGCCAAGGCCATCCTAGAGCAGCCAGCTTCCAGACAACCCAGTAGCTGAGTGCAAACACCTGAGTAAGCCAAGGGAGCTCAGTCAAGCCCAGCCCAGACTGGCAGAATTGTCCAGGTGACCTGTAGACTCAGAGGGAAAGTACATTGCTGTTTGAAGCCACTAAGTCAGTAATTTTCAAAGTGTCATCTACGGTTACCTGGGATCTTCACCACCTTTTTCTGTGGAGCTGCAAGGTCAAAACTACTTGGATAATTATATTAAGACTTTATTTGTCTTTTAATTCTCATTCTGTCAAGAGTCTACAGTGTAGTCTTCCAAAGTCTTCATAATGTTTTATATCAAAACAATGAATACAGTAGCAGAAATGAGAACCCAACAGTCTCCTACTGAGCCACATATTAAAGAGATTAGCAAAAATGAAAACCAATGCTACCCTTCTCACTAAATTTTGCTTTGCTTAGAAAATGCAGCTATTTTTCATAAAAATACATTATTTATAAGTAATAGGTGTATTGTTAATGTTAAAGGAAATGATAAATATCTTAAATTTTATACTTTAGTTCCTAATACAGTAAATATCAATGTAAAATGCACGTAAACAAACCTCCTTGGAGTCCTCAATAATTTTTAAGAAAGGATCCTGAGAACAAAAAACCTGAGAACTGCTACACATTTCTTATTTATTTAGCATTTCTACATTATGAGAATAGCAGTTTGTTCCTCAAGTAAAAATCACTATGCTTTGTCCCTCATGACATAATTCCCCTAGCACTCGTGCAATTCTAAAGCCTTACGATCCATAGACTGTGGATATATGTTCTTTCATTTCTAGAGTAATATTGAGTCATTTTCAGTCTTATCATTTTATATTTTAAAAATGGGACTTATTCCCTTTCTAAAACACATGCAGATCAATATCAGTCTATCTAATTTGTAAGCAAATATTTGCTTGCTGATTTTATACAAAGCAATAATTTCCATGGGACACAGAAATACAGAAGCTGAGAATTTTAACTAAGAGAGCACCCATTCAAGGTTTTGCCAAATTTAGCTTGGGGTTGAAGGTTAAAGAATCCCAGTGGAGTTGTAATAATGATGCACTTGGGGAGGTTAAGTTGCTCATAAATTTTATTCTACGAAGATCAAAACTAAGGATTTTGAACTGGATATGCTTCACTGCTCTAACATTATGTAAAGAAATGAAATAAAAAGTGAGAGATGACTACTCAATTCCTGAGAAGTCCATATTTATAAAAAATGACAGATAGGTAATATAGGATCACACATCTGCTGTGACGAAAGGATTATAAAAAGTTAAAATTTTCTGTGGGCTAATACTGCATACTGCAATGCAAAGCAGCTCACTACAATATCTCATATAAAGCTGGATAATTCAACTGTATTAGAATAAAATAGCTTCTTTTGCTTAGTATTTTGTTATTAGCTCTTTGATTTAGCTGTAGGTAGTTGAGTAGTGAAAATGCAGGAAGAAGAAAATGTAATTAAAGAGCCCTACCCCTCAATGCATTGAAAGGAAAAATGAACTACATACACTACAAATATTTGGGACAAAACAAATTACTGTGAATTTTAATTGCTACTAGACACTGTTTAAAAATAAAATATAAAAAGTAAAACAGCTTATGAAAATGAACTCGGTACTGATTGATTGAAATTTATGTTTGAAAATTTCCTCCCTCCCTCAAAGAACAGCTTGTTATAAACTGAATGATTTTGTACTAATATTTTCACATTATCTTGAAAAATCCAGAAAAATAGCATGCATTGTATTTTAAAGTAAAAAATAATAATGGATTTTATATTAAAAAACATAGCACGCGGACATTTTAATACTATTTTCTACAAATAAATCTGGCTGATTTAAACCAGTGTGAAAGTGCCAGCCTCCAAAGGGAGTAAACAGAAATTTTTCAAATGTTTATGCTGGAAAATGACAACAACAGCTGCTTTATATACACATCTTTTACATGAGTAAAGAGAAGAAAAAACATGTGTACATGTCCTTTCCAATTTTAGCCACCTTTTCTAACTACCATAGGGGTAACTTCATTAGAGAGCCTGCATGGGCATTTTATGAATTGCCCTCTTAGTTAAATAGTAAGCATTAATGGTAATTACAAGAATCTCAAAAGCAATAAAATTAATACCATGTGATTTAGGAGTCTAAAAGATTAGAAGAGGAACCAAAATTATGTGTTTTTGTTTTCTTCAAAAGCAGAATCAAACAAAGACTATACTCCTTTTCACTCTTGACAGGGCTTAATATTGTAGTTTAGCAATATTAATGTCATGAAGTCCTTGCTTCAGGGAAGAGAAAGAAGTAACAGAACCATATCAGAATTATGAAGGAAAAGGTTGGAGACTTGTAGAGGTAGAAAATTAGTTTGAATTGAAGTTTTAGCAGAGGTCAACTATTGAGTTGAGTCAAAAGAGAAAAATCTCACTGCATACACCATCTGTGAAATATAAAGAATTAAGTATTAGCATTTTTAGTAGACTCTAAACACTTTATTATCTGCTTCAAGCCAGTATACTGGATCTATATAGCCAGCGTAAATTCCTGATGAAAGCAACTGAATAAAATTATGTATACAAATATATGTGCATACTTTTAAAGAATGTTGCATCTGACATGAACGAAATCTGCAAAGACTAAGATCAAAGTAAAAGCAGGAATCCTAAGAGGTATCACCAAAGCCAGCGTACAACATGAGAACTTCTAGAGATCCTCGGAAAGCTTGAGCTTCCCTTTTGGCTGCTTCATGAGGATAAAGGGAAAAGTATGGTAGAAGATTTCTTCCATAAAATGAGAAAGAAATCTCATGCGGAAAAAGGGTCTGAAAGGCAATATACAGTCTTGTCCTTAGTGCTGGTTAGAGAAAAAAAAAAAAAAAGGATTCACATTAACAAGTTGGTCTTCATCACAGACCTGAAATCTACATCCATGCTATTTGAAAGCATTTAGTTTAAAAGCAAAGCATTTAGTTTAAAAATTGTCCTGGATTAATAGTGCCCTTGAGTGACTAGTAGAAGCAAATACTTTAAAAATGGAACTCCAAGTCTGGCCTTAAAGAATTTTCATCAATAACATTCCACATGTGTGAGATTACAGTCAAAATCAGAGCACACAAGGAAAATAAGATTTCACATGTGAGAACAAGAAGGAACTGGAAGTGCAATTAGAACCATGAAAATTAAAATAGAGGCTCAAATGAAAATAAGAACAAGAAAAAGAGACTATTAAATTTGTAAAACACTCAAGTGGAATTTTGTATCAAAAATTATAAAATTAAAAGAATAAAGAGATATTAATTTAAAATAAATCACAAATACAGATAAAATCAGTGAATGGGATATAGACTCAGAGAATATGATACTAAGAAAATATGAAATGATTTGGAAAAAAATTAAGAGACATAAAAGTAGAGAAAAATGGAAAAAGTCACATTAAATGAGGTAATGACCAAGGAGTTCCAGAATTGCTGAAAGACATCTATCCTCAGATTCTGGAAGGCCAACAAGTCTAAAGTGGGATACATAAAAATTATACACGTCATAACCAGCTTCAGAACACCAAAGAACAAAGGAAGATTTTAAAAGCAGCCAAAGAGAAATAGCAAATTACCTATGCAGGTATAACAATTAGACAGACAGTTGACTTGCCATTAATAAATGGAATCCAGAAAATAACAGAATAAAATCTTCAATGGTGTCAGAAAAATCTTTGACAATGTCGACTCACAGTTCAGAGAAACTATTTTCCAAAGACAAGAGCAAAATACAAATACTTTCAGACAAAGAAAAACTGAGAAATCTTCACTAAAGGAAAGTCTAAAAAATATACTTCAAATAAATAGATAAGGTGGAAGTTCTAATAAGAAGGAACAGTGAAAAAATAGTGGTAAATATGTGAGTAAATCTAATATAATATTAATTTATAATACAGTAATAACAATATCTAATTCTTGGAATAATAGAGCAAAAATACCTATAGCATTGATTAAAAAAATCTGATGGCTCATGGTAATTAAAAGAATCTAATATACTTGTATTTTAGGAGGAAGTTAAAAATATTAACATGCCTCTGTGTGTGTGTGTGTGTGTGTGTGTGTATGTGCGTGTGTGTGAGTACTCATTTGCTCTGAGAGATATCTTAATTGTATTAGTTTTAATAGTATATTTTATTTTTGTTCTGTGGCTTGTTTTTTTCTTTTAGCATCAATAAAATTTCCAAGTTTTAATAAAAATATCAAGTTACATGCTTTGATAAACTCAGAAATTTCCAATAAACATCCTCTAGAGTTTACAGTAAAAGTAGTACTGTTGAACAAATAGAATGTATGCATATAAAACTAATGAGCACATACCCTCAATTTAGGCATGCACAACTACCCTAAGACAATTTGACTTATGGAATATCTTTGATAATATATTAAAAAATTTATAGCCTCTCAAACTTCTACTGTGCATGACACAGTAGAAGTTTCTCTCTCACCTTAAGAAAGAAGTTGTTCACAATCTGTCCTGTGCAGAAAATGCTGATACACTGGAAAAGAGAAAGCCCAATATTACTAATACAATCCTCTTGTTTATTATTTATTAAAGTTAAAAAAAATTATTCTAGATAATTTGTTATTCCCATGCAATCATATTATATTCATATTTACTAGTTTTCTAAATTGAGAGAAAAATATAGAATAAGCATTTTAACATAATGCTTTAATATATATATCGCACAGAACAATTCTTTATATTAAGTTAAATTATTCATTAAAAGTAGTCAAATTAAATGTTTGAAGTATATATTATATAATATAAAGATATACACATATATTTTACCATTATCATATTCCTGTAACTTTCTTTGTATCTCTATATCCAAAAAATTCCTTTTGAAATCTTTCATTAGAAACTCTACTGGTATCAATATACTCCTTGAATAATTAATATTTTTTACTTTAATTTATAACTTAATTAAATTTATAATTTAATTTTTAATTTATAAATTTATGTTTTGGCAGTAGTTTAAGAAGTTAAAAATTCTCAAAGGCATAGAATTTTATGTGTCCATCTCTTCAGTTTAGAGAGTTTTATTAGCTTGTAACAGAAGTTCTGGATTAAGCAGTACATTGGGTTGATCAACATGAGCTTGTCTTTTTTATGATAAAAAATGATCAAATTAGTAATTTCATATGGCTCAAGTGTAGATAATTAACTGGCTCACACAACTTAAAAATCTACAGGTAGACCTGGCATGTTTTCAACATTCTGCCTTATGAGGTTAGTTTCATCCTAAGGCTCCCCTTGTGATATTAAGATAAATGCCACCAGCACTTAGGACTACATCCTTCGTCCATTTTCTCAGGTAGAAAGAGGGGATTATTTACTTAACAATATTCCCCCCCAAAAAAATCCTGAGATGTACTCTGGACTTGCAAAATTCAGCCCATAACACTGGCTTAGCTGTGTTATATAAATCCCATCCCTGAAGCCAGAAGAGGAGTCAGTCTCCACAAAACCATATGGATCCCCAAACTAAAGTCTGGCATAACAGAAAAGGGGATGGGAGAAAGATGCCATTAATGCAATGGAAATCATTCACTATTTCGTCTCGAAATGTTTTTAATGTACTAATAATGAGTCTAGCTAAAGTAGGAAAAATGAGTCCTGGCATAATTCCTGGGATTTCTGGATGACTGATATTTACCATTTTGGCTCTTTTATTTTTCTTTTTGAGAGGAGAGGATTTCTTAAAAATCCTGTGTCTTTGATTCAGGGTTTTACAAGTAAGAATGATTTAGTATTTACCCATTATAGATGTACGAGATCTTAAGGTGAAGAACAAAAGCAAAATCCTATTTGGCTGTGATCATGTGTGAACTCCAAATGGGCAGGGGAAAACTGTTTCCAATCAAATGGGATGTCGCCGAAAAAGTGCATGGGCCAGTTTGTTCCATGTTTATCCAAGTTATTGATTTTTCCATCATATATAAAGTCTTACAACATTAAAGAGATTGTTCCTGCTACAACATTATGAATTCATTGCTTGGAACACAGTTTGCTATTGAATGTCTGCCAGATTTTGTTAACAAAGGTATTCAGAAGAAAACTGTGCAGCTATAACACAATGAATACATGAAGTCTCTAATAATGTCTTTAAAGTCATGTGCATATTCTTTAAGCAAAGATAGTTTGAGGAATAAATGCATTGTTATTTTGCATTATTTTCCTCCACTAGGCTTAAAACTACTATTTATATTTTAAACATTTAGTGCTTCTCTGGACTATTTAGGTACTTCTGAGGAACCAATAATGTTATTTTCTGAAGTTTAATGCTATATAAAGATTTATTGTTTTACACAATGGTAAACTGTGAAAATTCATATGCTCTTGAGGCACAGATTTCATCTCCACTTAGGTGCATTGTGGTCAGCTTCTGGGGTCAAAAAGACCCTCAGTAGGATTTCTGTAATTTTCTTCTATTTTTTTCTATCTTTTGTAGCTTCCAGATATAACAAGAATAGTTGCAATGGGAGATTGATATTTTAAAATGGTAAGAGTCATTTTAGAATTTTCATTTCAAATAAATTTATTTCTCAGTATGGAGCTATTATTATTACAGCTAATTGGTTATACCTTAGTATGGAGAAGGGGGCACCTACAATTATTAGAGTGGGGCAGAAAGGAGGTAGGACTTAAGAGGGTCTAGCTACAGATTCCAAAAAATTTGGTATGCAGAAGGCTGTAGTAACAATGAGTTTAATTCTGTGCAAGCTTGTACTTAGCTACTGCCGGGCGTTTGGGCTATGGAGTTTGTTTTCAAACTTATGAATAGACTGTATTGATAAAGGCATTCCAGACACTAGAGGTGATGTTCAGATGATCAGGCAACGATGAAAAACTATTGGGTTTGAGAATATAATAATATCCTTCAAGACAAGGTGTTTCGTAATGGACCTAAGTCTTGAGTCTTTCTACTTACTAGTGATGTGACTTTAAACATACTTCAAGATATGTTTTAACAAAAGATCTGATTTTTTTACAGTGTGTTGATGAATTTTCTAAAAGGCTGATTAACAAAATGGAATCTGCTGATTTGTCCTTGTATGTATATCATCAACTGGAGACTTCAACATACACTGTAAACACGGGATCTTAGGAACCCATTAGTGGTTTATAAGGATTGCATTTGGATTTTGTATAATTGTGCATATATACTGAAGAAAAATATCAGGGGTGTACCTGAGAAGAGATGCATGAAACAAGATATTCAATTAAGTAAAGGGTAGTTAAGCAAAAATAAATTTCTCTGATTGTATATACTTTCTTCTAATAAACATTTTAATATAAAAACAAATTTATTAGTATAAGAATTTATTCTATTTAGATAGAGAAATAAAGCATATAAAAAAGGATGTTTTATTTTTCTAGTTATTAATATTTAGCATGTTAAATGGCATTTTCAATATGTCTTAAATTCTAATAGATATGATTTAGATGTATTTAGTTTCATTTTTGGGTGTCTTCCTTTTGAGGCATTACTATGAAAATGGTTAGTTTAATATCCTTCTGTTCTTTAGCATGAGTAAAAACATTGTGAATTATGCTACAAATAATGTTAGCATAAAAAATTTTAAAGAATTTTAAAAATAATTGGTTAATCAAGTTATTTTATTATTTTCAGCAAATTTCCAATATCTAAACTTTAAATATTCAAATATTTAACATTATAGATATTTAAATTTATATTATATAAATATATGTTTATAAATACATATAATTATTCAGGTTGCCATAATAAGAGAATGATAAATTTCTATGATCCTTAAATTTTATAAATGTAAACTTTGTTTCTGTATACAATGAAAATATATGTTGAAAAGAATCTCAGGGTAATGGTAATTGACTAAGCATTCTACAAAGAAATAGTAAACCTAAAAGTAATTATTCATTTTTAAAGATCATGGAAGGATTTTCAAGATAATAAATCTCAGCAAGTGAAAAATATCTGTAACAATTACTTTCTGAAGAATACAGAGCCATTCTTTGATGATGTATATTTGAATACACATTCACTGGATCCCTAATTTTTGGATAAATGAATTGCTTTAATCACATAAATGTCAACTATTATTATATTGTATGTTAAATAATATGAAATGTGTACTTTATTATTCTCAAGCAATTTCCTTCATGAGCAGATGAGCAGCTTCAAGAATCAAATCGACCACACTACATCACTCAGTGAAATTTACAGCAGATAAGGAACACAAAACATGGGAGAAAATGAAAGAGAAAAATTACCTTTCTCAAAAAAATCTATGCTCATCTGAATCTTAAATCATGTATTCTTTTCCCTTCATATCATTCTTGATGGGACTCTTGCAGAAAAAAAAAAAAAAGGGATTAAACTGACTGTGCTTCACTGTCAAGAGAAACCTATGGTCAGGGATATACCTAATTCCTAAAGCTTTCATCATTAATATTTTATGAGTCTCACTGATCTGTCCTATCTAGAAGAAAAATTTATCTTTCATTTGTGCAAGCACTACCTGCTGAGTAATAGATTTCTTCTCTGTAAATTGAGTGGTGAAATGCAAAAGGCAGCAAAGGTAAGAAGAGGCAAATTTTTCTTTTACTGGAGTCTGGCTGCACTTTTCTGGAGTTGCAGAGTCAGCCAAGCAAAGTGAAAGATCCTTGGGGAGCTAGGAAGTGTCATTTCCGTTCTAACATACTTTGGCCTACACATGTTACTCCCCACATGTTTAACCTGACTTGTAAATGAGATGATTAACTACAGTGACTTTTTTTAACTTAAATATTTACAAGTAAGTTTGGTGCCTACAATGTTGGAAAATCACTAGCTCAGCCTTGAAAATTTCCTTCATTGTAGATGAAGTAACGAAAAGGCAAATTAATGGTCTTTGAACACTTCAAACTGAAAAAGTAGGATATTTTGCCCCTTGGTGGAGCACGGCTTGCCTTAGCTGAACTAAGGAGGCCATTTAAGTAGGCTAAGAAGCCAACTAAGTAGAGTCATCTGTGACACTGGAGCTGGCTATTCCCTGGGCAGTGTTCATCCACAGAAAAGTGAAGTAGAGGAAGAGGGTCCAGGATCCCCTTTCACAGTCAAAAAGATATTGGGTGTCCATTTATTAAGTCCACCTGAGATAGGCTGGGACCTGGGACCCTTTGCTGCAGTGCTGCAATGCTTGCACCTGGACACATCTCTCCTTGAGCAACAAAATACAAAGAAACTATATGGGACTAAAAATAACTGCGTGCATGCGCAGTTGGGGCAAATTCTGGACAAGAAATACAAAAAGACCAAAAAACCCCAACTGCCACTTCTGAAGAGCTGGGAGCAAAAACAGGGGGTCTGGAGCAAAAGCACGGTACTGCTCATGCCCCCTGAACTCAACAACACCAGAGGGGTGAGCAAAACACCTAAGTCACCCCTCTGGCCTGAGCACTGGACACACCCCTACCCTCACCCCATATAAGGAACCAGCTTGTCCCCGTCAGGGAGCAAACAAGCAAGGGAAC